GGTGTGTAGACTTTACATCAGGAAGGCAAATGCACATTACTACTACATTTTAAAAACCCACTGGACCACTGTATCAATTGGATTCAACATTTAATATTTATTTTAATGAACGCTTATCATTTCCTTCCTGAGCAACTCTCAGTAGTCTTCTGGAGATGTATCCCTAATTCCTGGAGACTCCAGGGCAATCCTGGAGGGTTGGCAACCTAAATACAACCCAGGGTAGGGGAAAGACTTGGTACAGGGCAGCAAATAAATATTTATGTTTGCACCAGTTTATGTTATAGCCAGTGTGCTTACTCCTTTGTTATAGTTTGCACCAGTGGTTTGGGACTGGGACTAGTAGGTGTGGTACAGAGGTCCCAATATTGCCTGAGGGTGCATGAATGTCTCAAGCCCTGCTAGAGGCTTGAGACCAAGACCAGGATTGAGCCTTATAGGGTGAGTGCCTATGGAAGGATTGTAGCCAAGTGTGACTCCAGGCAGACAGGGCCAGGAGGCCTGGAAAAGATGGGGTCAGGGGCCAGGACAGAGCTTAGGCAGGCTCAGCACCCAGAGCAGGGCAGAGACAGGACCAAGGGGCTCAGGACTAAAGCAATTGAGATGAGAGCTAGAGCCTAGAAGCCAGGTCCTTCAGTGGGTCCAGACTAGAAGGCCCAGCAAGAAAAAAGGGGAGAAGGCTAAGGCCTTGACATGGGAGTGATTGTACAGTAACACCTGTGAGGCATGGGCGTGGCTGTAAGGGGGGCTAGAAGCTGTGATAGCCATTAAGGATACAGATGCTCTGGGAGACATGAACAGGCTGACAGGGACCATTTAGTGTGACTCTGGGATGGACTTGCTGACTGCCATGGAAACAGTGGCTCACTCTAACTCTTTAGGCAACCTTCCTTCTGATCCATTAAATATATCAAGGCATGACAGGTGAGTGAGAGGGAGGGTACCCTAGAGCTGGAGTAGGGCAAGGGTTGCGTGGTCACCAGGGAGAGTCACAGCTGACCCTGGACCTCGAACTTGCTACACGTGTACAATGCAGAATCTTTTAGAAATGCAAAAAGATGGATGGAAATGACAAGTACTGGTTAACAAAAAAGTTTGAGAGTTTAAGAGATTAAGGGCCAGATTTGTATTCTAAAATTTGGCATCTAAGTGGACTTTGGCACCTAAATGCAATTCTATTCCTCCGAGTCCTGAAAATCCCTTAATCCATCTACTTTTGTTGTTGTTTACACCCAGGGGGACACCAGTGTAAACTGCCCAATTTCTCTTACTTAATCTAATCAATCCCTCTGATTACCTCTTTAACAGACTCGCATCCCTTTTTACCTTTCCCTCTGTTTAAAAAAAAAATCATCTTTCTGCCACTCCTTGCCTAGCATCTGAAGTAGGTTGTTGCCTGCAAAAGCTTATCTCTATCTTAGCCAATTAGTGTGAGGCCCCCCTCTACCTGTGCCCATCCAGGTAATGGCATGATTGGATCTAATGCGTGACCCACACAGCCATGCCCTATACCATGCCACATGTGCATGACAGGAGGCACAATTGTGGGATCGCACATAAGATCCAATCTTGCCTTATTGCCAGAGTAGAGGGATCCTGATTCCCCTTCGCTGAGGGGGCTCCCAGCCATGAGGGCCACGTGCAGCTGGGATGGGGAATCCCAGCACCTGATGGGAATCTTGGCCTTGGCTGGATATGTGGCATATCCAGAGCCCTGTGTGGGTCCAGGGGCTCCCAGCTGCAGGACAGACCCTGCTACAAATGCAAATTAAACCCTAATAGCAACCAGCTATAAAGTTAGTACATACTTTCAAGGTCTAATTTTATAGCTGGTTGGAGCTTTTTATCACACAATAGCTACTTTTCATGTGTAGCTAGTCTCAAGGTAATTGCATAATGAACCAGTTAATTGTAAGATACCTGCAATGTGTAGAGGGGGCTTGAATGTCAAAGACCCTTATCAGGCAAACCCGCCTGGGTTAATTGCCTAATCAGTCATACCTACCTTGGGTCTCTGGCTGATGAGCTCTGCCCCAGCCAATTAACGGGCTACCTTCCTGATTGGCTTCTGGTTGGTCTGCCTATCCATTTTTAGCCTCAGATGTGGCAGTAGCTTCCTTGACCAGCCAACAGTTCTGACCCCAATCTGCTGTAGTAAGCCTCCTGGTTCCTGACTCTGGTTTGATTCTGTTCTTGGACTCTGGCCTTGGATCTCTCTTTGGATCTGTTTCTTGCCCCTGCTTGTTTCTGATCTTAGACTTTGACCTGTGGATTACCCCTGAGACTTGATGACTTGGTATCTGATTCCCAGACTGTGAACCTGGCCTGTGCTTTGGACTCTGTCCCTGGATTTTCCTTTGGACCTGGTAATTTGGCTCCTGAACCCTGGCCTCTGCCTCCCCTCAGTGGTCTAACCATTAGGCAAGGATGCGTACTACCTGGTCCTTAGCACTAGGGTGTCCAGAAGCTGCCTATCTTTTTCCTTTCTTCATACTAACATGACTAATGGCCTCTGTCTCCAGAAGGGTGGTTATAGAGAGGATGAAGCCAGACTGTTCTCAGTGGTAGCAGATGACAGAACAAAGAGCTATGGTCTCAAGTTATAGCAAGGGAAGATTAGGTTAGATATTAGAAAGAACTTTCTTACCAGAAGGGTAGTGAAGCACTGAAACAGGTTACCCAGAGAGGCTGTGGAATCTCCATGCTTAGCGGTTTTTATGGCGTGGCTAGACAAAGTTTTGGCAGGATGATCTAGCTGGAGCTGGTCCTGCTTTGAGCAGGGGGTTGGACCAGATGACCTCCTGAGGTCCTGTCCAACCCTAACTGTCTATGATTCTGTGTACAGGCACATAGCTGGTATATATTGATGCAATCTAAGATGAGAAGCTTATCATGAAGTCTTTAGCCTTGGGTAGGGTGGTTAGAAAATGTCAGTGTGACACTGTGGAAAAGAGACAGGACCCCATGCATGGTAACTGCATTGGTACAAAGTTTGTAAGATGGTAAGTAATTCATAGTTCATTTGCTTAGCATGAGCTGTAAAATTCCTGGTGTGAGGAATATTCAAAGGCCTTAGCAGTCTTATACCTTCAAAAGTCTTACACTGTCACCATACCCCATAGTTTGAGTTGCTAAAACAGCAAGGACCCATCTATTTCTTTCATTAACTGCTTCCCAGTGACTCTAGCAGTGTGGAAAAGAAATGAATTTAGGTACCCAAGGCATTCAAGGTTCTTTGGGTAAATCTGATATCTTTTATTAGACCAACTCAAATAGTTGGCTGCCAGCCTCTGGCTTCTTTACTATTCATTCCATCCAGGAAGAGCACACACCAGCTGCAGATGCTTCCTCAGCCTAAGGGTATTTATACCCAAAAGCTTGCAAAGAATAGGGTTTTTTCTTTTCCAACTATTTGAGTTGGTTTAATGAAAGATATCAGATTTACCCAAAGAACCTTGTCTGCCGATGTCCTTAGACTAACATGTCTACAACCTGTACCCCTTTAGGCACTCAAGTACACTCAGGCGCCTAAGTAGGTAAGATAGAACCTGGCCCTATGTAAATACTGCAGGAAATGTTAATGCTGAGTGGGAGATCTTCAGATCTATAGTAAAGGGAGCCACAGAAAAGATTAAAGAAATGTTATCTTATGTAGCTAAAGAGAAAATAATTGAGGGCCCATGTAAAGTAGGCATCGCTTGCCTTAAAAATTGGAATAATTCTCATGCAGAATATGGTAAAATTGAAGGATTATGCAAGGGGCCACTAAGATAATTTTGGGTTGGTTTGGTTTAAAGGAAAGGACATTAATTGTGAGTGAGCCAGGTAAAGGTAAACATGAAAATAATTAATTTACAAATGAAATTAATGAAGAGTAGAACATATTTAATGAGTTCTTTAAGGTCAACAAAAGAAGCCATTTTCCAAAAAAACTGAGCCAATTGTAGAAGAAAAAAAAATGAAGAGATTCAATAGCTACTTAGAATGCTCAAGAAGAGTGAAGCATGGGATACTGAGTTGGTAATATACCCAGTGAGTTGTTAGAAACAGGAGGGATAAACTAATGCAAAGACTTCATGAACTGATTTTGTTGGTTTTGAGGTTGGAAAAAAAAATCCAAAGGAATGGAAAGGGATTCATATGTCTCATTTTGAAAAATGGGGAGAGGGGGTAAAATAAATTGTAAGAATGCTTATGGTGTCTCCATACTCTCTGGCCTCCCAAATCGTATTTCTGAAGTTTGTTATAATCTTTGGCCTTATACATAGAAGATAGTGAGAGGGTCTGCATGAATGAGAGACCTGAAAAGAGGTACATTGTGGATCAAGCTTCCAGTTCATCAACCACTTAGGAAAAGATGGACTATGCATGTGTTCATCTCAATCTTTATTTTTTTAATCGATTTTTAGAAAATATCTGATGGTGCTTTGAGATGGCTTTTTGACTACAGTGAAAGTTAAATCCCTGATATGATTAACTGGATAGCACAACTATGTGTTTTCAGTTCCAAAAGTAGAGTACAAGTTTGGTGTGAAATCTTTACCCCATTTGACCTCAATACTTGATTGAGGCAGAGAGGTGCTTCGTCCCTGGTTACCATGGAAAAATGGTGCAATCAATACAAAATTCTCTGGGTGGAGTCCACTTATGGGATACACTGACTTTTTGGAGATGCTGGTGGTGGAAGAGGGAAAAGAAAGAGTAGAAAGGATGTATGGAGACTGGAGGAAGCAGTAAACTAAATTTATAGTCAATTAAGATAAAGCATATGGTTGTAATCTAACAAGAAGATCTTGGATTATCTCATCTAGCAGTTGATGATATAAATACCAGTAAGTTTTATTGGTTTGTTTTTGTTTGTTTTAAGGATTTTTTTTTCGGGGGGGTGTATTTGGTTTGGGTTTTTTTGTTTTGTTTTGGGTTTGGTTTTGTTTTGTTTTAACTAGACTAACTGTATAGTTAGGGAGAAATGTGACACAAGCTTTCATGCCCTTCCTCAGGTTTGTGAAGAGGAGTCTGGGAAAAGCCAGGCCCAAGGAAGGGTACTTCTTGATCCAAAGCTTGCCTAACACTCTCCCAACCATAAAGTTGCACCAGTGAAAAATATCGCCAAAATGCATGCTTCTATCAGTTCCTGGATCATCATGGCTACCGCAACACCTCAATGCTACTGCATTAATCAGTTGAGAAGTTTAAATGCATTAGTATATTGATTACGAACAAGATTTTGATGAGTAATAAAATTAAAACATGGGTTCAGTGTGGTAATGCCAGTCACTTTTTCTCAGTTTTTATGGAGCTAAAATATCTTCTATAGAGACCTGTTTTTGGTATATAAACACCATTATAGAAGCTATTGTTTCTATATGGATGTAAGATTTGGACATTTTATTAGCAGGTGGAAGAACGTCTTTGAAAAGAAGGTGTTGAGATGAATTCTGGGGCGGGCAAGTGAGAATGATGAGTAATGAAGAAACTAACAAGAACTTTGAAAGGACTATTGGGAACCATGTGTGGCATTCTGTTCCATTCATGGTTATCTAAGAGGCCAATTTTGGTTGCTTACATGGCATTTTTGACACTTAGAAGCAAATAAGGATTCTGTCCCTAGCCTTGTAAACTTGTGCACATAACCTACTGCATGCATATACAGTTGTCTACACATTGGCCATGCATTTGGCAAGCCTGGCTACCTGCACATGCCCCTTATGTAAGTTAAATGATATCTAAGGCACAAAAATGTAGTCTGCTGAATTGCATGACTCCAGGGACTGAGACTCATGAATGACAGAAGAGGGCCTGGGTCTTCCTTTTCTTTCTTACTCTAGATGACCATCTGGGAAAGCCACCGGCCCTGCACTATAGGTTCCCCCTTGCCTACGGATGGTTTGAATCTGGCTCTTTCTGACCTTGCAAGCATAGTGCTCAAACCACCACACTACAAGTTAAACATTACCCAAGCTCTTCCCTGGCACTCATCTTTGAAGCTGTTCCCTTGGGCAGCCACGAGAGAGGTCTGTGGAAGATATGAGCAGCAAGGAGAGAGAGCAGAGGGTGTGCACCACGGGGAGGTGGTGGCTGCTGGCCTCGAAGGAAAGGCGTTCCTGGTCTCTAGCTTCTGCTCTTGCTCTCAGTGAAACAAAGCCTCCCCTAACCTGGCCTCCACCAATTTTGGTCCAATAACTTAAATACAAGGGGCAGTGGCTCAGCTCCAAAATGCACATCAAATAGCAGGGATGGGTATTATATGACCTGTGGCATAGGGAGTAGTGCACTGTGCTCAGAAATCAGAGGCCCAGGTGCAAAGCTCTCAATGGAGGCCTGGATCTCTGGCTACCTAGGTGAGTACTCTAGCTGCTTAGCTTTGAGTAGCCAGAGATCCACTTCATTGCTGGTGCCCATATATGTAGTTGCCCAGGAACAGAATTCCTAATTGACAGTTAAATGCCAAAAATACCACTTAAATGATGAGGGAGGGAACAGAAAGCTCAGTAGACCCACTGAAATCCTGAAGCCTTTGGTGGGCATGGTCCATAGCAGGCCTCTAGCCTGTTCTAACCTGGAACTAGGTATGGCCAATGCAATAGGAAACCTCCTCACAGGCCAGACTTCTCAATTGGCCCATCCAGTCCTCAGAGCCCAGCCCAGCCCAGCCCAGCCCAAAATACTAAATCCTGGACCAGCAGAAGACTGTCTAGGGGAAAGCAGTAAAAGGGTTTGGAGACCTTAAAAATGTGACTATGAGGAAAGATGCAAAGAACTGGGATTGTTTAATCTCGAAGCAAGGAAACTGAAGGGTGTGTGTGTGTTGGGGGGTGCATATTGGTTTCTGGGTAAGAAAGAAGTTAGTGTAGAGGTGTAGGAAGCTCCTGAGCAGCTTTGGCACTGCTGAGCACAGATGAGCTGGTGGGAGGGTGGGAAATTTTACCTGCCCCTATTCTCTCTGCACTCTGACAGCAGCTGATGCGTAGTAGTAGTAATAATAGCATGGGCACAAGCTGCTACAGCTGTACACCTGAGGAGCAAGCACACTGCCCACCAGTTGCAGAGGGGGCTCCAGAATGCCTTCATCCTGGAAATCTTTGCTATGCAGGCACAGCCCCACACCACCAAGCCATAGAAGCCAGGAGCTCTATACCCACTAATGTATCGGGGTGTGGGGAAGCAGAATAATGGCCCCCCTCCTGGGATTTCTGCCATGGGAAGCCCAGCTTGGCTCTCCATCCTCCCTAGATATGCTAGTGGGTGAAAACAGGGCGCTTAGGGGCAGCTCCCCAGGGACCCTGCTGTGTGGTAAGTCTGCCTGTCAGCTGCAGCCTCCCCACAGCATCAGCTCCCCAGGGAAAACACATTTTGTCCTTTTTTGTTTCTTTCTGATATATCAGGAAGATTTTCAAAGTGTAGGCATCTGAGGTGATTGGGGAGAAATGGAAGGGTGTCTTCCTTTTCTGTATACCAGAACTTCAAGTCTTTTATAAATTTTTTTTTTTTTTTTTGCAAGACTAGAAATTTGGAGAACTAGCATGGGTGCCTTAGTGGTAGCCTGCAAGTGAAATTAGATAAAGAGGAAATGGTTGCCGTCATTAATGCTATTATCATTATTTATTTTTTTAAAACAAGCAAAGATGAGACTAAACATTCCTGATATTTTAAGGTAAACACAGACAGAAGGAGAAAAAACATTCAGGCCTTCCCTGTCTCATGAACTCATCTTAGAATTCATGTCTTATTGCCAAAAAGTAATCAAAGGAGTCTGTAGAAAACATTTCTGCTGGTAATAAAATTATAAGTAAATGCAAATGAAAGGCAGCACTTTTTGCAGTATAATGGAAAATGTTGTTCAAAGATTTTCTATGAAAAGTCCATTTATATTAAGATGCAGCATCTTCCAAAAATGGGGCTCAAAGCTGCCAAATACATTTTGAAATCGCTTTTTTATCTACCTAACACTTAGCTGATCATTTCTTCTTGTAATTGGTTTCTCCTTTTTTCCAAGAATGCACTAGTTGTTGCCTACACCGACGCTAGGAAATAATTTGCAACCAAAGGTTTCAATCTGGTGCCAGAATTGACTGTAATTACCGAATGACGTGGAAAGCAATTTTGCAAAAACAGCGTACTGTGACATCTGCATGTAAGTGGGTTGTTGGCTTCTGCAGGTGGGTTTTGCTCCCTAAGGATCTCCGCAGTCAGTCCTCCTAAATAAAACAGTCTGTAAGCAACCAACAAGGAAACAAAGAACCCCCACCTGCCCCCCAAACCTTTCTGATGTGTCCCAGGCACTAAGAGGGGAGCCCTTCAGATCTGGCCCTAGCAGAGTAGCTTGGCCATCTCCTAATGGAATATTCCCTGCCTATCCAAATGCCCTTTCACTGCGCTCTCAACAAGGTTGACTGTTCCCTCTTAAAGGGACAGAATGTCTTGTTACAGTGCCTCCAATGCTTCTGTTGTTGTCTTCTGTTGCTCCAGCCATATATACCTCAATCCAATTGATTCATGGGTTTCTACTCTTCTTCCACTGCAAATACACCTTGTCCTTTCTTTATATCCTCTCTTCTAAGGCTTTATACATCTCCATAGTGGACTACAATTATGCCCATGCTCATTTTCATAATGGATGCTTCTGTTGTTATACTGCCTATGATTCCTTCTAGTTCTGACTTTGGGCTTCCTTTGTTACCTCACATTAAGTTGGTGTCATCTACCATTTGTTTTTACTTGCATGTTCTTCTATTTCTCCTGAAGAACCTCCTGGGAATTCAGTTGCTCTTTAAAGGATTCTGGCTTTTACAATGATGCCACTGTACCTTAAACACTTTTTTTCTTTGTATTTTATAGTACCATTCATATCTATATAAGCCAGAGATGAGCCAATGTGTTTGTGTTTGTCTAGATTAGGTTAAAACTAAAGTTCAGATTCAAAGTCAAATCAAGCCTATTGTGTCACAGTATCATAAACAGTTTTTAAATGAGGTTTTCTGCCCTAAATGGTATACATTTTAAAGGATCAGCAGATATCCCGAGCATTTATTTTTATATATCTTCAGTAGCTAAGTTCTGTATTTATTTAAACACTGTTGCCATTCTTCCTTGAATTCTTGGGAAATGCCGATTCTCCTGAGAGTCCTTAAACATTCAAACTCAAAACAGAACATGAAGTTCTTTTTTACGTAGAAACCTTCTTTGCTTTGAGAGACTGTAGAATGTCCATCCCTGGATGTTTTTAAGAGTACACTAAGAAACTGCTTGGATGAGATGGTTCAGACATGAAGGATTCTGTCTGAGCAGGGGGCTGCATTCAATGACCTCCTGAAGTCACTTCCAGCTCTCGCTTTCTTTGATTTTTACCACAAGCATAAAGTTCAAATTTCTCCATGTAGTAGTAGTAATAATGTAACAACAACAATAGTAATACAAATAATTTATTTTTGAAGTATGATTACTGCAATGTATTCATACTTGCAAAAAGTAGTTGCCAATTTATTATGCTTAGCCTCATTCCTGGCCCTTCTTCCCCCTTCACACATCTTAATTGGTAAGCCAATCAGAGACTGGAAAGTTTACTCAGTGAGTTCTCTCTCCTAGAAACTGGCAAAGATTTTGACTAAAAACCAACCTCCCACCCCCATAAAAAAAACCAAACCCTACCCAAAAAACCTTTCCAGGGGGCCTTGTGGTCTCTAAGCAGAAACCATGTTCCAAAATCTAGATTTATTCCCATCTAATTAATATATATTAAAAACAGATTGACAAGTATTGTGACAGCTCAGGAACAGTAGTATTTCTCCTCTCAATGTGTAGAGCAACACACAGCAATGGAGTTATAAAACACATTTCCTTTAATGTTCTGACATGAATTATTAAATGGAAAAATATATAAAGAGCCAAGACAAATTGAATTGCTGGTATAACCAAAACAATGAAAATTAAACAATTATTACTTCAGGGTAGGGGGCCTATTGGTAACAGGTTTTAAAAACTGGTTCCACAATGACAAACTGACAGACCTAGAAGTTGTTCAGGTTACTAGAATCTGTACTGTTTGTGGGTAGTGCTTTGGTTAATCACAGAAAAATGTGAGAAGAACATTCTTTAAAATATAGTATTGTAGGTTCAATTCTAAAGAAATGCTTTTCCTGTAGCTCCCATGGG